GAAATCACTTATGAATACGATTTCTAAGCCACTCGCTACCTTGTTAAATGTTCTCAAGTCTCATGTCTCTCTTTGTTTCAAGCATCAATATGAGACGGGTTATGCAACATATTTAACACAAATTATCAAATTTGCGTAATGAAGAACTTCTGTGATAATTATCTCAGAAGGACTATTAATTTCGTTTAGAGATTTTGCGTCGAAAACTTTAAATGCCCGTTTCACTTTTCAAATTGTTGCTAACCAATATTATCGCCCCTGTATTATATTTAAAGAAATTAAATAATGAATAATCTAAATGAATGTATGCATGTTTCTCGCATTGTGATAAAACAACAGTAATGAAAGGAATTAAAAAACATCTACGTGTCCTTTTTTTTGCGTTAAAGGAGAAATACACGATGCCAGTCTCTCTCGGAATGCATACAGTTTTTTTTTTCACAATAAATCCAACAGCTATACGTTGAATTTTGCTCTTTTTTTTTAACACTATTTTCTATTTCAGATTTTTAAGCATGAAGGGACATGTTTGATTTTCCATTTTCACGCATGAATCCTATCTGACATGCGCAATAATAGTTTCTGAATTGGCATGCCTTCCGTTTACTTGACAAGTGATTGGAGGTAAACTAGAGAGGGGAGGAGGAGTGCTATTCCATTTCAATCAATTGAACTTCTTCGAGTGTTATCTAGTAGCCGTGGGATTGTAAGTTTTCCCATTTTAACATCATTTTTCCTCCATTAATCGAAAAAAAACTTACATTAATGTTCAACATTGACGTAAGATTTTTCTTCCCACAAGGGCCGATTATTGATTTTTTTTGGCACCGCATGGACCCCCGAATATGCTGGAATAAAAATAAATCGGGTTGGCGGGGAAAGGGGAGCATTTTGGAAACGACCTTGGCCCATTTCTCTTCCTCCTCTGTCCCCAGGACCCTTTCACTTTCGTTCGAAAAATCCCCTTTTCATCCGCTTCTTCCCCCCTCTCACTTCTGACCTTCCCCCAATTACTGATTTTTTATTCATTTATTTATTGAATGCTAGCGGTAACACTTTGAAGTCCACGGAATCCGCCTCTTACGAAAGTTTTTGAAAAACTTAAAAAAAAAAAGACCTTCTCCCTCTTTTTCCTATCATGATGATGATGGTGGTGGTTGTGAGGTCCCCGTGAAGATACAAGAAACGGTTTTACCGATTTCGAGCCCGAACGAGTGTGGGAATAGTTTGGTCAGAAATATTGTTGTTCGTGGGCCGTAGCAACAGTTAAGTCTGTGGTGATGGTTTGAGAATTTTGTCGTTGAACGGAAGTCTGTAGGAAGATACGGATGTAAAATTTCCTAATTTTAACAAAAAATGGGGAGAATTATTATTATTGCTACTATTATTTTTAATGCCAAAGATAAAAGACATTTAGGGATACCCAGAAGCATATAATTATTATTACGAGTCAAATAGTACTATAATTATTATATTTTATTATTATTAGAATTATTAATTAATATATAATACTAATAATAATAATTAATATAATATTAATAATAATGTAATAATAATAATTTTATAATAATTTATAATAATTAATCGATAATATTTATATAAAATTTCTTAAGAATTCTTATCAATTATATAAATATTTTTTTATTTTATAATAATAATTTTCCTTCTCCTAATCCTATAATCCTAATCCTAATCTCTAATATCAATATTATGTCTATATTTGCCCCATATTAATTCTCTATTCCCTCTATTTCTCTATTCTGTATTAATATCCGTATTATAGTTCCCATTCTCAGATTTTCATGATTCATTTTGATGTTTCTTTTTACTTCCTTGTACGAAGTAAAAAGGAAGTATTGTAATCGCGAAAAGTTTCAGGCAGCATATTTCAACGAAAATATCCATTTTGACCGCTATCGAATGCAATTTAACGATGTTTTTGCGTGATATCTGTACGTAAGGACAGAATAAAATACCCCTTTCCTTCAAAAAAATTATGAAACTGCTTTAAAATTAATTCTGAAGAGAATTTTTCGTAGCGTCTGTACGAACGTATGTACGTACGTGCGTACGTACGTATCTCGCATAACTCAAAAACGAGTAGTCTCAGAACGTTGAAATTTTGTATATAGGACTGCTATAAACATGTAGATCTGCACCTCGTATTTTGGTTGCAATCGGCCGCACCAAACGTATATAAATATATTTATATATATATCCACTCTATTACCGGCTCAGTGATCTCAGTTTTCTTTACTCTTATATGTTTGTAAATTGTACATTTTTTTCTTTAAAAATGAGTGAATTATATTGTTTTTATCTTCCGGTTAAGGATTTTATGCCTTTAGTAAATCTGTGTGTATTTTTAGAATTATCAGCAATTTTAAAGTTGTTTAATTGCCGCTAAGCCTGTTTTAATGGCGGCCATTAATGTTTACATTTGAAACAGGAGACTAGTCGATTTGTTGCCAATCTAGAGAAACTTAGCTTCCCAACAACAAAGATAACGCATTCATTTATTATTGCCAATTAAATCATGCTTCATTCTTTCTGGAATTTTTTCGAGAAAATAAGCGTTTGAGGTTACTTCGTAATTTTTTAATATAGATATTTTGAGTTTTTTATGTATTTTGCCTTCTCGCGAAGTAAGAACTGAATTAATTGAATGAGAAATACTCAATCGTCTGTGAAAAACTGTTTATTTTTTGTTTTATTTGCTTAATTTCTTTTATACATAGTTCTAGCTTTATTATAGTATTTGAACAGAACATGTGGCAGCGATTAGATAATTCTTTAAATGATATCAATTTTGTGCATTCTGAGTTGTAATATGAACGAAATATAATACTGTTAAGTAAACCTAGCGCAGAGTGTCGCTATGGTAAACAAAGTGAATTTTAAAGAATGAATTTATTCTATTGTGGTTTATGCGCTGTCCGCGAAGTAAGTTTAATTCAATCTAATAAGTTTAAATAAAATGCAAGAAAAAATGCGTATAATTTAATATTCCGTACAAGGGAGTCATGTGGTGTACACATCAGATTTTTTAAAACAATTTCAGGCTTCATTTTTAAATGCTTCTAAGTTACTTCATTCGACTAAAATTCTACTAACTTTCTCAAAGGAAATAATATACTCAATAAAACGTTAATAAATAAATTTAAATATATATAAATTATAAACAAGTAATTATCGCTATTGATCGGAAATTAGTTGACTTTTCAAAGGGAACAAACCAACTCCCGTTCAATGAACAATAATTAATAAATGCGAAGGTGATTCGTCTTTTACTCAAGTAAGAATGTTAATGCCAAACTAGCAAATTAAAGTTATGCCAAAATTGTAGTTCCGTGAATTGATGGGATTTAGAACCAAAGTAGAGTACCAAAGAACTCATTCTGAATTAAGCATTTTCGCTAATACAAGATTCTTCATAAATTTTGAGTGAAAAGAAATTTATGTAGTAAAATTTCTACTTTGGTTCTAAATTCCATCACTTCACAGAACTACAATCTTGGCCTAACTTTAATTTACCAGGTTGGCATCATTCTTACATGAGTAAAAGACGAAACACCTTCCCATTTATTAATTATTGTTCATTGAACGGGAGTATGTTTGTTCCCCTTGGAAAGTCAACTAATTTCCTATCAATAGCGATAATTACTTGGTTTTAATTAATTTCTTTTTCAAAGTTTGAAATTTTGTTATTCATGATTTAAATTCAAGACGCCGTAAAACATTTTTAGTAAGTTACATTCAAGTTACTTTAAAACACAATTTTCGGAATTAAACTTCCTACATATGGGTTCCGTTTTTTTTTGGATACTTCTACTAAAGTTATATTAGGAGATAATGTAATCAATATTTCTTTAGTAAATAAATTATATATATATAAATGCATAAAGAAACTTAATAACAGGCAAAAATAAAAAGCAAGTATATGTAATATAATAATAAATATTATATTATCTTACTACTATTATTATATTATACTATATGAGTGAAATATATTTTTCTATCTCTATTTTTAATAACTTTTGAAAATACAATTTATTGACTAGAGTGTGACAAGTACACTCAACACAAACACATGAAAAAGAACAAAGTATAAAAATTTGGAATAAAATTTGGTCATAAGGAAAAAGTCAATCAGTCTGAAGATCTTGAAGCCTCTCTCTTGCCTGCCAGAATCTGTCATACAGATGTCCAGTTACTTTAGGTCATTCCTTAAGATGAGAGGCATGCATAACAGTGTTTCTCCGACATAATATACAGGTAGGAGACGAAAAGATGCCAAATCTAAATAAAAAATATGTAAGGCAATCATGTCTAGTCTCTAACCAAAAGGCTGTAATATTGATTCGTCTTGGGACAGTAGGTGTTTTTAAAAGAGAACCCCTCCAATGCTTTTCTTTTATTTGCTCTACTTGCCTGGATCGATAGTCATTATTAATGCGTTCTTTTATTATTCGCACTGCAGTAGAATAAGGGATAGGATTCGATGGAATCTGTAGGATTTTTGTTCCTTTTTTAGCTAAAAAGTCACCCATTTCATTACCAAATATTCCACCGTGAGCCGAAAGTCACTGTAATATAGCATTTTTATGTTTGGTTTGTAATGCACACTGTCTAAAAGAGGGGGGAGACAGTTCTATATCTCCCGTTCTACTGGGCCGATTGGCGTAATTCAACTTGCGTTTTTCATGTCTCGAAAGCACGATTTATGATATGTATTAGATTAATATATAGCATTTTTCTCATTTAAGGTAATTTGACACAAAATCAGACTTTTTCTGCAATGGCCAATATTTTTCCATATTTCGATTCGGCTCAAATTATGCTAAACTGCCAAGTTTTGTAAAAATCACACGAGTCGTTTTTAAAAAAATAACTTTTAAATTTGTAGCTCTTCAGTGTTAATTGAATTTGGTATGTATTTATTAATCTCACTTTTGTTTATTAAACTTATTTGATTTTTCCTTTCATATTTCGATATTTAGGTTCATCAGGTTTTTGTATGTCTGGCACTGGAATACAAGTGGCCCAAGCTATGAAGGTCGAATTGGGAAGTAGAGTCAATCCTCTGGAAGTTGATGTTTTCTCAATTGTCGAAGCCAATATTCATGATAAATATTAAAGAAAGATTTAAATTTAAGAACTATTCTATGTACTTTTTGGTAAAAACTAGGCAAATAGCCAGTGGAACACAAGATACTATTACTGGAAAATTTTCCATTGTTAAGAAGATAGATAATGTAAAAGATAAAATGGAGTGAAATATATGGTCGCTGTAATAAAATAAGGACGTACACTTATATAAAATATAATAATTATAGTAATATAATAGTACTATAATTATTATATTTTATTATTGATATTAGAATATTATTAATTAATATATAATACTATAATATGCTGATAATAATGTAATAATAATAATAATTTATAATAATAATTTACAATAATAATTAATACAATAAATATGTAATTATTATTAATAATAATTTAGAATTATTATCAGTTATAATAATAATTTATATCTTGTGCCTTTTAAACAATAAATTGATTTAAATGATAAAATGTTAATGAATTTTTTTCTGAAATTGCTAAGATAAAAATAAAAGTAAAGATAAACTAAAAATGTGTTAGTACCTAACTTACTTCGTGAAGTTATATGCTAATTTTTTTAAGAACTGCATCCATTAGAAACGTCACGAATTCAAAGTTTCCTTTTAACTGAATAAAAATAGCTTTTTTAAATCCGCTGTGGAACAATTTTAATAACTGGTTGTGGCGTAAGCGCAAAGAACGAGATATTTAATAAACAAAGTAAACACAGAAAACGTTAATAATAAAATGGTAAAAAATGTTTGTAAAGCTATCTTTGTAAGAAAACTGAACATTGAATGTGATGAACTGTGAAAAAAAGAGAAAAAGTGTATGCCAACATTTAACGCTGCGTCGGGAATTTTAAACGTACACTGATATGCTACTATTAAAATTTTTGTAATTTTGCTGTTGAATTGTATATGGCGTAAGTACGAGCAAAATGATGCTTAATAATAAAGCTAAACAGATAAAAACAAATGGATTAGTTGGTGTGAGAGTAGCAGCAGACTGGTAGACTGCGGCGAGCTCAGCGAAACCTTTAGAATCCTTAACAAACTCTTTTGAGGAACCGTTAAAATCTGAAACCTTTCAGATTTTTTTTTTAAAATTTGCTTTCAATTAAAGAACATTAAGTGCTTATAATATACGAGTATTTAAGATATATTTAAGATATATTCATCGAAATGAATACTGCAAATTTTTTATGTTAGATTTCTACTATGTTATATGCATGTGTTATTTTTGTAAAATGTCTTCTATGTTATTCCTCTAGTATCAACAAATCTCAATTAATTTTGATCTGTACTTTTACTCAACGGATATTTAGGCATCAGCAAACAATATTCGTTAATTTTTGGAATTACAGCTGAACACTGGCTACCGGGCATTCTGGGATTAGTAAGAGAAGTAAAGCACTAGGTTGTAGGGACATTAGGGATTTTTTGAAGCTGAGAAACGGGAAAAATGAGCTATGCGCTTACCGGGACACGAATCTTGCACCTCTCAAATACGCGCCGAGTGTGCTGGCCATTGCACCACGAAGGAATGCTAAAAAGGCGGGAGAAATACATTATATACTCCCACTTTTAAAGGGCAACTGGAGATTAGGGGACCCAGTTACCAAATCCTGATGATGGAGAATCATCATCCTCTACCTTTTATAGTTCGGGCGCCACTGTAGAGAAATTATGCTTTTTTGAAGCTGAGAGACATAAAAAATTAGCTATGCCGTCGCCGGAACTCGAACCTCGGAGCTCTCGAATACGCGCCGAGTGTGCTGGCTATTACACCGCGAAGGCATGCTAAGAAGGCGGGAGAAATACCTTATAAGGTGCATTGTAGAATTTGTTATTTACTCTTGTGCTTCGCCGTCTTCTACGATACAAGGGAATAACAAATGCATTTTCTGGTAACATATATCTCTTGTAACAGCATTACAAGAGTTTTGAAGTTCTTCAAGTGAAATGTTGCTATAAAAATCATCCTTTAAATGCGGCTTGGTATAAAGAAATATCATGTCTAGGTATAACAGAAACAGTCTTAAACTGTTATTTAAGCAACTACTACTCTTATTGTAGTGACTACCACTCTTATTATAGTGGCTAATGTAATTAGTATAGTAGCTATTTTTATTATAGTAACTACTACGTAATTTTTCCACGAAAACGTTGAGTTCCAATTAAAGTTCCTCTTTCAGTAGAATTTTTATAGTAAGATTCTAATACCTTTTTTCAATCATAACTGTCTACACATCTGTATTATATACTAGTTTTAAATACTAAATTTGAGAAGTTACGGATCATTTCATAGTATATGTTTTCATGAAAATCAGTTCAAGGTTTTAAGTAAAGTATCACTTCCGTTTCATCAATTTTAGCCAAAATATATGTCTAATATGTTATCCTACTGATATAAAAGTCATAAGTCTAAAACTGAAATGTTTCGGATTATTTATTTTTATATAGATTTTTATTACATGCTGTTATGGGCTTCAAGTAACGTACCATTTCCGGTTGTCCATTAAAGACAGTTATGGTCTTCGAGTAAAGTACACTTCCGGTTGTTCGAATTCTATCCAAAATCTAATCGATTTTTTACACAAGTACAGAAATCTTAAATGCAAAATAGAGAAATTTTTGGAAGTTTTATTCAAGCGTTATAGTGGACCAAAAAGTCGTCATACACAGACAGATAGCCATCAATGTAAAACTAGTAAAAACATGGGGATTTTAACTCATGACTTCACTGAAAACTCACTATCGAATATTTGGCCCGAAAAAACATTACCTTCCTTGCTATGTTTATAGGTTAGCTGGAGGTAAAAAATGAATAACGTGCTAATAATCTAAGGATTTAAACATGGAAAAAATTTTAAAATTTAAATCCTCTGATATACGTAACAAGCCAGGACCGAGGAATTATGTGGAATATCACGTACTTATGGAAAACGGTACTTGCGCCCTTGTGGAAATCTCTGAATTGTTCTAAAACTGCTCGCGCAATTATGGAAAAAGGTCAGTTGTTCAAATTTTCCATCGTTAATAATTATTGGTCTCTGAGGCATTGTTTTTACTTTTTCTTTAAAAAAATTGAGTTCTTCATTTACATTCCCTTGAAGTCTTGAACATTCATCGACATCCGTCAACTTTATTTGCTAATGTTCATTTGCCAAGCATATTTATATCCATTACCTTATAATATTTTGTATTCTTTTATTTCTCTTCTGCCTTTTTCAGTTTTTTTCCGTTAAGTGCTGTTATGCATTAGAATACTTACCAGATCAAATTGCTTTCAATAAAGAAAGACAAAATAAGACTTTTAAGACTAAGAAGAAGGGCAACTGGTAGTAATATTTGACAAAGGGGCAGAAATTAATGTTGACTTTTACCTGCTATTTATAAGTCTATATACATATTATATCATTACCATGTAGAATATGCACTATAGTATAATTTAATCCCAATTAAAGAGGAATGTTCTTAAGGATATTTTGTGCGTTTTCGTCATTAGATAAAATTCCTGAGGTAGTTATGATACTCTAATTTGTATTAAAAAAATCTGATGTGTACACCACATGACTTCCTTGTACGGAATATTAAATTATACGCATTTTTTCTTGCATTTCATTTAAACTTACTGGATTGAATTAAATCTACTTTGCCGACAGCGTATAAACCACAATACAATAAATGCATTCTTTAAAATTCACTCTGGTATTTGTTTGCCATAGCGACACCCTGGCGCTAGATTCACTTAACAGTATTATATTTCGTTCATATTATAACTCATAATGCACAAAATTTATATAATTTAAAGAATAGAATTATCTAATCGTTGCCACATGTTCTATTCATATACTATAATAAAGCTAGAACGATGTATAAAAGAAATTAAGAAAACAAAACAGAAAAGAAACAGTTTTTCACAGACGATTTAGTATTTCTCATTCAATTAATTCAGCTCTCACTTCGCGACAAGGCAAAAATACATAAAAACCCAAAATATCTGCGTTAAAAATTACGAAGTAAATCTTAAACACTTATTTCCTCGAAAAAATTCCAGAAAGGATTAAGCGTGATTTAATTCGCAATAATAAATGAAGGCGTTATTTTTGTGTTGCGAAGCTTAGTCTCTCTAGATCGGCAAGAAATCTACAATTCTGCTGTTTCAAATGTAAACAAATATGTCCGCCATGTTATTTAAAACTTAACCGCACTTAAACAGCTTTTAAATTGTTGATAATTGTACAAATATTGCTTCCAGAATTACGAAAGGCATAAAAACCTTAACCGGAAGATAAAAACAACATAATTCAATCATTTTTAAAACAAAAAATGTACCATTTACAAACATATAAGAGTAAAGATACTGAGATCACTGAGCCGGGTAACAGAGTGGATATATAATATATTTATATACGTTTGGTGCGGCCGATTGCAACCAAAATACGAGGTGCAAATCTATATGTTATAGCAGTGCTATATTTAAAATTTCAACGTTCTGAGGCTACTTGTTTTTGAGTTATTCGAGATACCTACATACGCACGTACGTACATACGTTCGTAGAGACGCCACGAAAAATTGTCTTCAGAATTAATTTTAAAGCAGTTTTATAATATTTTGGAGGAAAGGTGTCTTTTATTCTGTCCTTACGCACATATATCACGCAAAAACATCGTTAAATTGCATTCGATAGCGGTCAAAATGGATATTTTGGTTGAAATATGTTGCCTGAAACTTTTCGTGATTACAATACTTCCTTTTTACTTCGTACAAGGAAGTAAAAGGAATGTTAATTGTGAATTAAATGCTGGCGAGTTTATTTAAAAAAATAAAGTATTAATTCTGAAGGGTTTGAGAAGGAGAGAGATTTACGAACGTGACCCAACTCTTAGGATTTGCAATCAGGTTAATCTGCACAGCAAAAGAGGGAATTGTAGTGAAAAGTGTTTTTATACTAGGCATTTAAACTCGACAATAAATAACCAATACATTTTAATCAGGCTTTCAAAACCAACAAGGGCGATTCAAGAATTTTCTACTGCCATTCTTTTCCGAGCAGTGAGGAGATGACGTCCCTTCTACGCACTGATATCATTTTCCGTTAGTCTGGGGGTTGTCTGACCCCCTGATGGCCCAGCGCGACAGGAAGCGAATTTAGGTCAAACCGATGGGAATGGGGAGGGATTGTAGAAAGCCAAAGATTGCATCCGAGGATGGGCAAGCTAAAAAACACACAACGTCCAGGGTCTGTCTGTTCCATCTTAATCAAGGGACTGAAG